TTTTGAATAAAAATTCCTGAGAGGATAGAATCCAGAACTCAATGTCCAGGACAGAGTAAGGATAATATATATATATATATATATATATATATATATATATATAGAGAGAGAGAGAGAGAGAGAGAGAGAGAGATAATAGATAGATAGAGAGAGAGAGAGAGAGAGTGAGAGAGGTACAAACAAATAAATGCGATATCTAAGGTTTAAATTTATTTAAAAAAATGAGTTTTAATTTCAAGCTAATAGATTAAATTCAATTGGATTAAAAGGACTATCTTTTAACTATTTGTAACACATATTATTTATTTTAGTTTAAAATATCACAGAAATTAACATTTTTATAATTGATGTACTAGTTATTATGAATCGTTGGTAGCAGCCTGACAGCTTTATTTACAATTCAATATAGGACTAATATTTTTAAAAGGGACATATGATGAGAATAACGAAACTGCTATTTTCATATGATTTTTAACTGCCCAGTATTCTTAGAAAATGTATAAATATTCTCCGTACTTTAATGTTTTATTGCATTTTAGAAACGTTCGAATTTAAATTTATTATAGGTCTCGTTTCTATTCTCTGATAATGTTATGTATGGACGCCCATATTTACAAATAAGAACGTTTATATTCAAACCAAAAAATTCTAAATACTTTTTTAAAATACTGCCGATCGAGGAATTGTAGCAATCTTTTCTATTTATGATTAGTAAATATCGTTTTTACTTAATAACAATATCGCATAACCGACTTAGATTAATACAGAATTTTAAAAGATTTAAACATTTATAAAATAATTCAAATTAAATGAAAAAGAAACACTTCTACAAAATCAATATTCCTCGAAAGAAATTGTTCTGAAGGTAATAGTGTCCATAATATGTCATATTCATAAAAGCAATTAAAATATTTTCTAATTAAATATTGTTACAATTTTATTTCATTTTACGATTCAAACCATATTTTTGGTAACTGGTGATCACTTATAAGAAATAAAGAAAATGATTTAAATTCTCCGACAACTTGTCAGTATAAACATTAAGTGGCACAAAAAAATAATTTCTCGGCATTTCTTTAAAAAATAATATTTTTTTAAAAAGAAACTGTGAAAAGTAATTTAATTCATTTGCAAATCAGTTCTGAAAGATTCATTAAAATTCGACAGTTATTTGATTTTTGAAAGAATTTCTAAATCAATGTCTTCTTCACAGCGGAAAGACTATAATTTCCTATAATAATTTATGGTAACCCGATGTTGCAAGAAAAAACAATTTTTTAACAACATTTTGAAGTTTCTAAAAGTAATAAAAAGTATAACTTAATAATGAAAAAAACTATTTAATATTTTATCTTAATAATAAAATGTGTTCGTGTGTGTGTTAGTGTTTAAGCGGTAAGCTTTATGCGTCTGATATCCTCGCTAATAATTGAATATGTTTTCTGCTTTCTTTTAGATTTCGCTAAACCATTGTTATTACGGATAATCTTGGTACAAAATTTTTAGCACTTGTGAAAATTTTTGGTTTTATCAACTCGCATCGGACTTGAAATTTAAATAACCAAGTACTCCAAAGAAACATATTCATAAAAAAAAAAAAACATATCTACCTTTATAAAGCTATTTAAAGTGCTTATCTATGTTAATATTAGGTTGATGCATAAATAATGTCATCTCTTTTGAAGTTGGACGTCAAAAACGACATTATTTTTGCACCAACTTAATATTATTGGCTGAGAATTTGGAAAATTGGCTAATCATATAGATCAACATTGAAAAATTTGCTAGCTCTACGACCTAAACTGTGTTAAGAATTCGTTTATTCATATGCATCTCAAGTAGACCATGGCCCAGTAGATTTTTGAAGATTGTATTACGGTAATACTTAAAAGAAGTATTATATTTGCGTTGAAAATCAGCATTTGAAATTCTAGTACGGGAACAGCACTTGAACTTGTAACACGGTTACTATTGAAGTATATTTTCCCTATTTCTCTGAAGTAGTCCTTATAGATATGTTGATATAATGCAAGGTTTATTAAAATACTGTTTTGATAATGCTTGTGAACTTATTCCATACATCTCAAAATATCGCTAAATATTACCTTTTAATTGCACTTTTTACTGCACAATCAATGTCATAATTTTCTGTTTTTGCATTCGCTTAATCATTCTGTTGCAACTAATATTGATTTCATAAAGATGGATCATTCTTCATAGCTGAGGCAAAGTTCATAGCAGCAAGACAATCATGAAAGAAAGCGAAGAACTGGCAATGAATCTAATTAATTTAGATTTTTATCGCGTGTAATTTGATAAATGCGTGCCAGGGAACAAAGAAGATTTAGGTTATTTTGTTAATGTGTTGAAGGATCTGCAAAGCTCGCCAATTAGAAAGATTAAATAGTCAAATTCGAGTTTACTGATTCAATCTTTAAATATCATTCAAAGTTCACAAAAGGACTTTTCTGATTGACTTTACATTTAGAAGCACGATATTGTTAACATTACTAACAAATATCACGATTTAAACGAAATTAAAGCAACTCCGACAATCATACCTGTGGAATATTTGGAAATTAATTAAAAAGGTGTTGAAATGGTTTAATATTTTCAAACTAAGTGTATAACGATTAGAATCTAATAAGTCTTGAAGCGCGATGTTTTAAATCCGAAGACACTTTGGAATAACTAAAGATGCCCCACAGAACAAAGCAAAGCATTAAAAAAATATCATAAAATAACCGTAAGAAACAAAGAAAAGAGTGCTGAACTCTTACGTAATATTGGCCCTCTTATATGGCAGTGAATGCTGGGCAATCTCGTCACAGATGAAGAGACTTGAAGCATCAGAATTATGGTGCTACAGGAGGATGATGAGAATAGCATCGATCAAAGTAGTAGCGCCGACAAAGTTTCAGAGAAAATGGAAACATAAAGGCACTAAAAATTAATACCAGGAAGAGACAGTTTATATTTCTAAGGCACATAATGAGGAAATAATTTTTTGTTTGATAGATTGAAGGCAAAAGAAGCAAAGGAAAACAATAGCGAACTTGTGTAAATGGATGGCGAAAAAAAGGTTTAGGAAAGATAATAAAAAAACGAAATTGATTAAAGTTAGAAGGGACAAGAAATTATGGAGAGCAAGGATTATCAACTTTCTGAAGGGACACGATACAGAGAAGAAGATAAATTTTGAATTAATACGCTCATAGGAAGATGGCGAATTAGGAGGAGGGATCAGCATGGAATCCGAAGAAAATTTTGTCTCAGGTGTTGTACGTTATCTAGAGAAGCGCATAACACATGATAAGAATATTAAACATAACGGGTGTCACCTGAAAAAACGATCAGACATTAGGCGGCCCAAAATGTAATAAAACTATGATGAAAGAAATGTGTTGACTATTGAAGATCGAAGGATCTTTTCGACTAGAATTATACGCATCACTTTAGACCAGTTTCAAGTTTTTCTATCTGCTGGAGCAACACGATTGGATATCGCTATAAAGACCGAATCACTGTATTAGAAAAATCGAATTTGTTCAACAGTGTACACAACCAGGGATACGACAGAAACCGCTTGGATGACTCTTAAAAAAATGAAATAATGATTTAATATATCGCTTAATACAATTCCTTGTCTTGCAAAACAATTTCCTAATACAATAAAACAATCTGCTAATTATTGTTTTACCGATTTTTCATTATTTTTCAGTTCTTTTCAAAAACGACTGATTAGAGCCATCTATGTTTTATTTTATTCACCTTGCAGTCGGTAAAACAAAGCAGGAGGCCACAGACCAATTACTAAACTACAAATGAAATATCGATTCTAGTTCTTTACTGAAGTGTACTTATCGACGCCGGCATAATACTGTATTCTTTGGGGAATATACAGCGTGCTAATGGTTGAAATAGACGTACATTTCTTTTAGTAATCGAAAGTAGACAGTTAAGGAAAACTATATGAAAGAACAGACGTGGAATGAGAAGACAAGACTGTAGTGTGTTATCGATTTTTATAAATAAAACAGCCGGATCTGTCATGCATAGCACCTAACACTATCAATTCTGGTATCTCAACCAGGGAAAGAAGCTATTATTTTACTTTCAGCGTTCATTTTGTCAATTAGAAAGAAGCATTCGCACAATCACTGGAATTTTTTTTTTCGTTTAATAAGTTCCTCTAATTTTCTCAAAGGAATACTTTTTTCTGAGGCCATACATTGATTTTTTACTACTTGAACGAACTGAAAGAATAAACATAACAGATGTACTGAGTTTATATGATCTTTGATTTTATTAATTCTTTTACCCGTTTCAATATTCCCTTTTTCTCATTTGTTATTATTCATCCTTTTTTCAACAATTTCATTTTCGATATCTTCTTTCAATTTCATTCACCATATTCTTTCATTTTTCATCATTTTCAATTGATTTGGCTTTTCCTTCCTTTTACACATGATTTTGGTTTTCTTTTGTCCTAATGCATATTTCCTTATATAATTTACCCACTTGCATCTAGTTTTGTTCGTTCAGTTTTGCCGTTCATATTGCCATTTTCTCGTAAATATTCTAACCATTCCTGTTCTACCATTTTCATTCTTTGCCGTTTTCTTAACATTTCATTCACTTAATTTTGGTTGTAAAATTCTGTTTCATTTCATTTTTACCTTCAATTTTCTTTCATTTCTTCGTTATATTCAAACATTTCCCTTCATTTATTTTCTTTTGTCTCTAATTACGCCATCTTTTCTTTCAATTTTATACCAGTGTGACTTTCCTATCTCTCATATATGACTCTTTCTATTTCATAATATTTTCATTATTTTTCTCTTTTTTAACATTTAATATCAAATATTTTTTTTCAACTTGTATATTATTTTCAAACTTTCTTTTCCTCTCCCATTTTAATTTTCCTCTTTCTTTTCCAATTCTATGTTATATTTTTCTACTTCCATTTTAGTATAACTCTTTTATTCGGCTTCCATTATATGCTTCCCCTTGCTTTTTCTCTTCCATCTCATTCCCCTCATTCTTTTCCTCTTTTATTTTCTCTCTCTTTTCCTGCTCCATTTTATTCTCCCTGTTTCTTTCATTCTCCCATTATATTTTTCTCTGACGCTTTAATCTCCCTCTATTCCTCTCGCATTTTAGTCTCCCACTTTTTATTCTCTCTCATTCTTTTTCTCTACCATTTTAGTCTCACTCTTACTTTTCCTCTTCCATTGTATTCTCCCTTTAACTTTTCTTTTACAATTTTATTCTGATGCTTTCTTTTCTTCTTCCATTTTATTCTCAATCTCACTTTTACACTTACATTAAATTTCTCCCTCTTTCTATCATCTTCCATTTTATTTGTCCTCTTCCTTGTCGTTTTCGATTTTATCCTCACTCTTTCGTATTCCCTTCCATTTTATAACCCCTTATAACCCTTATATACACTTTCTTTCTTTTCTCTTGTAATTTATTCTCCCTCATTATATTACTCTTCCAGTTTATACACGCTCTTTTTCTCTTCCTACTTTCATTTCCTCTTCCATTTTATTCTCTCTTTATTTTCCACTTACAATTTATTCTCTCTTTATCTTTTTCTCTTCCATTTTCTTCTCCCTCTTTCTTTTACTCATTCATTTATTTCTCCCTCATTGTTTTCTCTTCCATTACATTCTCCTTCTGTCTTCAAATCTTTCATTTTTATCCCTCCTTTTTTTCATTTTTTATTTTATTCTCCTACTTTCTTTTTTGCTCCAATTTTATTCTCCCACATATTTTTCCAGTTCCATTATATTCTTGATCAGACTTTTCCTGTTACATTTTATTTTCTTTTTTTACTGCTTCAATTTTATTCTTCCAATTTTATTCGCATTCTTTATTTTCCAATTCATTCTTCCCTCTGACATTTTATTCTACCTCTTCTTTTCTTTTCCAATTTATAATCATTCATAACTTTCCTCTTCTAGTTTATTCACTCGCATTCATCCTCTTCCAATTTTATTCTCCTCTTTCTTTTTCTCTTCCATTTTATTTAAAACGATTCTCATTCTCTCTCATTTTATTCTCCGTCTCTCTTTCCGTTTCTATATTATTCATGTTCTTCCTTTTCCTCTTACATTTTATTCTCGTTTCTGTCTTTCTCGCTTCCATTTTATTCCCTCTTATTATACGCTCTTCCATTTCTTTTCTCTCTCTAATTTGAATCTTCCTCTTATTTTCTTCTAATATTTTTATTCTGCCTCTTAAAATTATTGTCACTCTTCCTTTTTCTCATCTATTTTATTCTCCATGATTCATTCATCTTCCATTTTTTCTGTCTTTTGTTTTTTTCCATTTTATTCAACCTGTATATTTCCTTTTCCATTTTATTCTCACTCTATCATTTCTACTTCCATTTACACTCACTATTTCTTTTTACCTTCCATTTTATTTCCCCTCTTATTTTTCATCTTCCAATATATTTTCCCTCTTAATTTCCCTCCAAAATTTTATACTCATACCTTCACTTACCTTCATATTTTATTCTCCTTCTGGCGTTTTCTCTACTATATATTTCTTTCTCTTACTTTTTCTCTGCTATTTTATTCTCCTTCTTAAATTCCCTCTGCCATTTATTCTCACTCTGTCTTTTCTGCTTCCATTTTCTACTTCAACTTAAATTTCCTCTTCCATTTTATTCTTCATGTTCCTTCTCCGCTTCCATTTTACTCACACTCTTTCTCTCAACTTCTATTTTCTAATCACCTCTTCCATTTTATTGTCCCTCTTACTTTCCCGCTTCAATATTATATTCATTCTTTCTTTTACGTTTACATTATATTCTCCCCCTTGTTCAATTTTATTCTCCTTCTTTTCCTCATCCGTTTTATTCTCCCTCTTTCTTTTCCACTTCCATTTCATTTTCCTTATTTCTTTAGCTCTTACATTTACTTCCGCTTAATTTCGCATTATATTCTCCTTCGTAAATTTTCTATTCAATTTTATTCTCACTTTTTCTTTTCCTCTTCTATTTTAATCTTTTCCGCGTCCATTTTTATTCTCGTTCGTTTTTTTTTACTCTTCCAGTTATTCTCCCCCATTCTTTTCCTCTTTCATTTTCTTTTCCTTTTAACCATTGCCTCTATCATTTATTCTCCAACTTTCATCTCCCCGTCAATTGTTTTCTCTTTCTATATCTTACTTTTCCACTACACTTTTATTCCCGCTCTTTATTTTCCTCTTCCATTTTATACTCTCTCTTTCATTTACGCTTTCAGATTACTCTCATTCATTAATTTACTCTTCCATTTTATTCTCACTCTTACTATTCCTCTTTCATTTATTCTCACTTGTTTTTATCTTCTTCCATTTTATTCTCTCTTTAAACATTTTTCTTGCAATTTATTCAATAAGTTTATTTTCCTCATCGATTTTATTCTTACTCTATTACTTCTTCTTTCAAATTATTATTCCACTTTGCAATGTTCCAGTTTATTCTATCACTTTCCTTCCCTCTTGTATTTTCTTCTACCTCTTACTTTTCCTCTTCCATTTTATTCTGCCTCTTCCTTTTCCTCTTCCGTTTCCCCCTCTTTCTTTTCCTTTTCATTTTTATTCCCCCTCTTTCTTTCCTACATCCTCTTTATTTGCCTGTGCCATATTATTCTGTATACTTTTTCCTATTAAATCTTTCTTTCTTTCATTTCTTTTTCTATTTTATTCTCCCGCTTTTCTTTTCCCCTTCTATTTACGTCTGCATCATTTTCCATCTTCCATTTTATTTCACCTATTACTTTTCCTCTCCCATTTTATTCTTTCGCTTTATTTTTCTATTCCTTTTTCTCCTCATTCGTCTCCTCTTCCATTTTTTCTCGTTTCTTTTTTCAATTTCCATCATTTCCCTTTCTTCTTTTCTCTTCACATTTTCTTCTGTTTCATTTACATCGCTTTTATTTTTACTTTCATTTTTTTTCTTTTCTGGCATATTATTTTCTAATATTTATAAATGATTTTTGACGTTTCGTTCAGCAGATTAGCTTATCATAAGATCAAGGGAATTTTCTCGCCTCGATGTTTTGCTTGGTATTTTGTGACATTGCCTTTCTTTTATTCTCCTAAGTATATTTTATTATTCACATCATATAATTCTATGTTCGCATCAATATCTTGTCTTATCCCTGGGAAACAATTTAGGGCAGATATGAAACTCCCCAAAATTTAGGCAGTATTCTCAATGTCTAAGAGCAATGCCGTACTCTTATCTATCTTACTTCCTCGATAATTTCTTTCTTTCATTCCCAGTTTAATTTCCTTCAGGATATTTCGCTGTCATCCATTTATTATAGATAAGATCACGTGCCTCTGATCTCATTGTTTCGTGACTTCTCAGACGTTTAAAATTGTTTTATTTTTTTTTCCTCCCAGAACTTCCGGTACAACTAGGTGCCGGATGTGACTTTTCTTTCATTCTTGGTAAGAGTAAGATTCTTTAAAATCATCAGCAAAGTTGTAGTTTTCCAATTTATTATTCTACTTCCATCAGTGGTCCCGTGGCGATGAATTGTTCAGAATATAGCTTTCATTTTTTTTTCTTATCAAAACCCGTCTTTTTGTTTGAAATTGGATGAAGTGTATGGTATGGATATAGAAATGTATTTATTTCATTTCCTTTAATCTCCAGTATAGTCTCTGGCTTATGCTGAAAACATTTATTTAGAAGGAAAAAAAATGAAGTTTGCTTTCGGCATAATCCCCAATGTAAAATATGTCATTAGAGTGTCGTGCCAATATTTCATGTTAGATGAGGTACATTAATTAATTGTCGTCTTTACCAGGTAATATATTTCTATGTAAATGTTGCACCTGATGTTAGTTTGGGTTTGGGAAAATATTCACCATAATTCAGTTTATCCTTCTTCATTCTTCTGCCATGATAAGTAAATCTTTCCGTTTCATATTTACTCTAGGAAGACGAAACGGTAACTGTTCATTATCCGATATTTACAAGTTATCATTTAGTCTTTGTGTTTACATTTTTTACATTTTCTTTCTACGTTCCGATCTTTACTGCTTTCTTTTATATCTTGCTGCGCAAATAGAATCTAGAACAAGTCCCATCATATGATTACCGTCACGACCCATTCAGCAACTATGAATCAACTCATATGTATTTCATTTTATAAATATTCTCATATCATATGTATCCCATGTAACGGCCCATATCGCAACCATACCTCATATCACATGTATCACATTCAACGGCCCCTATCTCAACCATGCCACTTATCATATGTTTATACATGTAACGGCCCATGTCAAAATCACGTCTCATATCACATGTATAACATGTAACAGCCCATGGAACAACCGCGTCTCATATCTAATGTATTACATGTAACGGCCTATGTGACATACCGTATCTCATATCACATGTATAATCAGGTAACGGCCCATCTCACAACCATGTCTCATTAATCCTGCAGATTTTGTATAGCTTTCTTCAATTTCAATAATTCTGTTATAATATGTTTAGAACTGTTTCTTAACAAACATCGATACCGTTCCAAATACACCAATGTAATTTCTTGTACAATCATTACTATTAAATTCCACAACTTAACGCTCCCTAAAGGTTTATATATATTGCCAGCTCTTCATTCATTATCCTGGATTAATTAAATGCCGGAATTAAATTCAGCTCTCACTAAACTCCTCTAGAATTGCAACCTGTTGTTACTAGTTACTGATGCACGTGAATAACTGGATTCTTCTATCCGTTTTCAATGATTATGTCGCCTGGAAGTTTCCAATGATTATGTCGCCTGGAAGTTTCCAATACATATTCTAATTTATATTTAATACGTTAATTTTCGTCGGTTCTATAGGATCCTTTACATGGTGCCAATATCGACTGACACGAATGTAGCCTTTCTATTCACCAACTCCATCTGCACTTTAGCAATTAAGAGACATCAGTATTATCACATTCACATCTCACCTGTCATCTATTGGAACAACGAAATACATCACCATGTTAACTTTTGCGTGCGTGCGTGTGTGTATTTGTCTCTGTGTGTGTGCGTGTGTGTATGTGATGTTAAGCGATCCGGTCTTCTAGCATGGATTGGAAGATCTTTCTGCATTTCAATGTCTCAAATGATTTTTATTTTTTTATTCTGCAGGAGATATTTGACGTGTGCTTAAATATATGTTTGCATTGATAAAATAGAGTTACTTCTATTGTGGTAAGTGGATCAACCATCCCTCCCAATAATCCTATTCCTTCTTGGCCAATTTGCTATGTATTCCACGGAATAATTTTTATTACCACATATTATACGTTCTCTAAGATGTTTTCTAGTATGTTACTTTTTTCCGCATATTATCTTTTCCTGTTATTTTTTTTTAGGTCGTTAGAGTAAAATGTTGATGGTAGACACAGAATAGAAATGATAGACAAGTTAGTAAAGGCAAATGGGAAGAAAACGTTGAAACAACAATTCTACGGAGACGCTATATATCGTCGTTAGCAAGAATGACAGCCTCAGATTCGAGCTACGACCTGGAGACATCAGAATCAAGAAGAAAAAAGTAACTGAGAATTTTTATGACAGACGATGAAAATCTGACATTGAAGATTGAAGATATTTTGGAATAACGTGAGATGCATTAAAAAAACAAAATATTAACAGGAATATTTCGTAAGTAACAAAATAGTGGTTAATTGTTATGGATAATCTCTCCTCCTTTGTGGCACTGTATTCTGGATAATTGTCCTTATGGTGGAAGAGAAGAGTTAAGGCAACAGAGACGTGGCTCTACAAAAGGATGCTAACAGTAACATAGACGGGACATTTGAACAACGAGTAAGTTTTAAGGAAAATAGAAACAAAACGCTACTCATGCTTAGAATTAAAAAGAGAAAACCGGAGCATATAATACGCTAGAATAACTTGGATAATTTTATACACATATGACATATTGAAGACAAGAAAACTAAAGAAAACATTGAGTATCTCCTTTCCACTATTGATTAAATTGATGAAATAATAAGAACTGTGAAGTATAGCAAAGAAACAAACACTACATAGAGATACAAAGTATAGGAGGTTGTGGAGAGCCATATTCATCCCAGTTCCGAGGAACCCATTATGTAAGACAATAATTAAGAGCAAATCAATCTCTATATTCAGCTTCCATTTCATCTTCCATATCCTCGATTTGTGGTGTAAAATGCTGTCAATTACGTACCATTTTTATCGATGAATTGCACATCAGATTTCTATTAATATTTCCTTTGGTTTCTGTCGTATACACTTTTCTTTCCAGGAACCTAAGGTCAGAAACGGCTTCATGGTATTGAGCATTTTTGTAACAAAAAAAAAAAAAACATTTACTAAGATCACTTACATTATGTATACATAATAAATCATATCGTAATGTGTGAGCTGTACTTGTTGGTACAAATTTTTGTATTTCTTTAAAGTATAGGCTACCACGAATCCCTTCAATGTGTCTAACGAAAGATTTCCAATCAATCAGAGGGCTACAGCTGTAACTGGAATTATTGATCTCTTCATATTTCACATTTTTATCTATTTCAACATCCTTGTATTTTCATGCTTTCTTTGAATATCTTCATAGAGAAATTAGAATCTGCACCCTATACCATGTCAGTATAAAAGCACATTCTCTCTTTGTGGTTTTCATCAGTGCCTGGTCGATTAGCTTTGATTGTTCAGTCTGTATTGTAAAGTTCCTTAAAATGGTACAGTTCCTATCTTTGGGTCTGGGTGATGTTTATATCAGCTTTTTTTCAGTTACCTCCCCGTCATTATTATTATTATTATTATTATTATTATTATTATTATTATTATTATTATTATTATTACACCAAGATTTAATTATGTGGAAGAAAACGACTTAATCTTATTTTTATCTAACCTTATTCATTGTTCGTTTTCTTGTCAATCTTAATAGCACATTCACGTATCATATCGCTATGTGAATAATTTAAATAATTTTAGCGATTAGTAAACAAACTTAAAAACAAAAACTCCAGGAAGAATAATCGTCGAAAAATAATATAAAAAAATGGTCAAAGCCTTTTAAGCGTCCATATCATATTCTGGTTACAATTTCTGAAACTCAGTTGTTATATATCACTGGAAAGATTCACTAAGCTTGAAGCAATACTTTTGCCTTTAAAGGAGACTAAATTTTAGTGGAGCCTTTTATCCGCTATAGGTCAAGCACGAATATCTAATTAGCCGGTCAGTTTCTTGGAAGATGGCCACGAGTTTGTTGTCGACAGATGAAAGATTAGTTTACCGCCTTCCGCTATCACCTTTCGCATGAATACACTCGAGAAGAAGAAAGTGGCGAGACGTCCGGTTTGCTCTATGTTAATGGAACGAGTAGCAAAGGAACAATAAAGAAAACCTTGTGTCGACAAAGGATAAATCGTCGATTCTCACACTGAAAGGGATTAAAAAGGAAAGTTGAATGGATGAAAGCTTCTATCAGATTTTAAGAAGGTACTTGAATCATTTTAACGTGAAGAAAGTTTCAAAATTTCCATTATTACCTTCAGGGAAACACCAGCAATGCATAAATATTTCCTACCATTGTGTCCTTTGCCGTTTAAAGAAGTCTCCACTTATTTAATATCAACCTTTAAGATAACTTTTGGCAGAAAAGAAATGTTAGAATGGTTTCACAGATGAGCTGATTCAGCGTAAATATATATCCAGTTTAAACTTTTACATGAGTTGTTTTTCGTATTATTAATTATAAGCCAGATGTAATGAATATGCATACACCTGGGTTCCCCTCTCACAGTAATATGATTCCCTGGTGTCAGCCATAAATACAGGCTGATGTGGAGGTACAGGGAGGATGCCTATTGGCTACGCCTATTGCCTACCACTACGACGAGGACCAGTCCATTACGGTTACCTGCTAGATTGTCCTACTCGGTTACAGTAGTCAACAACC